ATTGGTTAGATTTGATCTACTTTTTGTAAATCCATACTGCAATTTATAATGGAAACCTATTTTACCATTTTTCAAACTATAATAGTTCCACTAGACACTGCTATTAAAAAGAGAAGCTTAAAAAAATCAATGAGGAGATTGTAATTAAAAACCTCATTTTGAACCACAGATATTAGTCCAGAGATTGATAGTTCCTGATTATAAATTTTAACATAAAATTAAATTGCAAATATTTTTCTTTAAACACCAGAAGCATGCACGGCCTTAGGCAGTCCGCTGTTAGTGTGAAACATTCGTTCAGCTCTAATGAACACATTTCCTGTATGATTTGTATTAAAGAAAGCATTGCTTTTTGCTTCCTAATTTTCATAACAGAGTTTCTTTTTCTGTATTATGAAGTATAAGAAGCAACACCATATTTTCAGGAATTAGGCAGGTATAGAAAGCCTTGAACTATTTACAAAGTAAGCTGACTTCATGTATTTCCCTTCTGCTACCGCTTTTCTGAAGTAGAATGGAAATTTAGGTTTCAGAGAAACATTTTATCCTTAGTCAACCTTTAGGTCTGTTCTTAGTCTAAATAAACTTTAATTAAAATTATTTCTAGGTAGCTTTACTTAAGGCAACACAAATATAAAATTAAATTGTGAAAGAAGATACATAATTAATATAATAAGTAGTTAAAATTAATATAGTAGCGACATGACATAGCTAGGAATTCACTGGTGTCAGTTAGTCTCTGCTTGACTCACGTATTGTTCCACTTAAGTGATGCTACTTGCTACCTGCCAGGGAAATGTAACTCAAGACAGCTGATGCTAAAGACACCGCTGTTTTGTGTTTGGGGTTGACATTGGCAGAACAGATTATTAAAATAAGGGTTTTGATTTTAATTGCAGGCTTTTTCTAAAAAAAAAAAAAAAAAAAGAAAAAGAAAAAGAAAAAGCCCTCTTAAATGTTTCTCTGAATTAGACATGTGTATGATGAGACTTAGAATTCCCAGGGTGTCTGCTTTGAGGAATGGGGTACAGTGTCTTATCCTTAACTATATCTGTGCTTAACATTCAAATTCTGGTTAGTTTCTTCCTGTATCTGATGTGTATTAGAACAAGCCTATAACTGCAGCACCAACAGCTGTTGGAATTACTGGTGTGTGCTTCTCATGACCTTTTGTAATTCTTTGATGGATTTGGGAGAAATTTTATGAAATTGCAGACGTGGTATAGCCCATTTTTCTCAGATCAAAGATGAATTGCTGTAATTTGAATTAGCTGGCTACACTCTTCAGCTGAAATGCAATTTACCTTAAGATATATACTTAATTGTAACAGAAGATTCTTGCCTTGCTAGCTACTTTTGATATTGATTTTTAAGCTGGGACTAGGTATGTGATACAATAACAGACTTACAGGGTGATCTGGGAGCTACATATATCAGGTTATTGACACTGAGTGTCTCTCACATTTGTTCTAAGGAAGCATTAAAAACAATGGTATTTTTGCCATTTCAAGAGCAGTGTGGTTTCCTGCTCTGTACAAATAGAATCAAATTTTGTGCTTATTTCATAGAAAAAAAAATTACTTGTGTAAAAATATTTTTCTTTTTATATACTAACTATGATTTTCAGTAAAAACAAAAATTCTTTTCTTGTAATAGATTATGTATGGGGAAAAAAATCTTATCTTGTTAGTCTAAAAGGGGCTGTTTCTTGTACAGAGCAGGTTCAATCACATTGATTTTAACATGACCAAAACTGACTCCTGTTAAGATATACACTATCTGGACTACTTACTACTAGATGTAAGATTGCTTTAATGGCACTTTGGTTGCAAAAGGTATTTGCAAGTGCCAAATGTGTATGAAGACTGTCAAGAGGGTTTCCTGGTTCACCCCAGGTGCATGGTACATCAGTTTTTCTCCCTGAGACTGCATGAATTCTTTATTCTCAGATTCCCTTCAGAGAACATCCACAGGTGTGGGCAGGATAGGTTGCTCAAGGATCTGCTCCAGAGAGACCGTTGGCATGGGCGGCATCAGCATGTGCTGTGCTGCAGCAGCTGTGTTCTTTCAAATACTGCTGTGGCACATCACAGGGCGTGCAACGCACGTGCTAGGTATTACCAGTTTGAACCAGTGCTCTGCTGTGCTGGATAGAACTCCTTTAAGTATTTCATGCATTTTGAATGGAAAATATGCGTATATACATGATATTATATCTTAAAGTCATGGAGACACTACAAAGGGACCAGAGTAGGTATGATCTCACCAAATGCTAGGCAGTGTGGAGATGACCGGTTTGTTGCAGATAATGCTGCCGCTGAGTAGTGTAGGCACAAGCCAGTGCATATGTATTGATCTATGGGCTGTGTAATCCACAATGATAATTGGTTCATTGGATACTTCAGACTGGAAGAGATGGCAGGAGGTCATCTAGCCCAATGTCCTTCTCAAAGCAGGGTCAGCCATAAGGTCAGACCAGGTTACTCAGGGTTTTATCCCGTCAAGTCTGAAAACAGTCAAGGATGAAAACTATGGAACCTCTATGGGCAACCTTTTCCTTTGCAGTACCATCCTCACGATAAAAAAGTTTTCCCTTAAATTAATTCTAAACCTCTCTTGTCTCAACTTCTGTTTTTTGCCTTTTGCTCTCCCACTGTGCAGCCTTGTGCAGATCCTGGCTCCATCTTCTTGATGACCTCCTTGTAGGTACTGGAGGGCCATCAGGAGGTACCTCCAGGGGGACTATTTATATACAGTATTATTTATAGCATGTAATACTGCTAATTCCCTTTCATTTTCTTAATTCAGTAGTCCAAACTAAGAAGTGATGAGTAAGTTTTGGTAAAAAAAAAGAAGAAAAAGAAAAAGAAAAAAAAAAGAATTGACGGAGTTGTATGAGTCCAATAAGGTTTGGGATAATTCTAAACAGCAAAGTGTTATGACATACAGAAATAGACAAATAAGGATTGTCTGCTTGGCTCTGCCGAAAAGCAGAATGTATTAGTGATGACATGGAAGTACAGTAACATAGCTATGCTGCTTCTGGCATCTTAGTTAACTTATTTAGGACTGTCTCGCTGTACAAAGCATTGAGATTTTCTGATCAAAAAAAAGTGCAAGATAAAAGTATGATTTAGGTACATCTGTCCAAAATTTGTCCAGTATCTGAAATGAAAAAAATATTTCAATGTAAAGAAAATTTCTTCAATATATTATTATACTTCAAGGAACGCTTGGTTTTTGTGACAGCAGTAATAGCAGTAGGAGCACTTTATATTTTGCACTACATGCAATTATCAAATAATATAAGCTTATCTTGACCATAAAATGAGGCATTTTATGAAATTAAAAAAAAAAATCTCATCATTCCTCCTTTCCTTAGTTGTAAATGACGCTTGCTGGTTTTGCAGTTAGTAGAATTTAGTATGTTTTATCCACCGCTGTGTTTTCCACCCGGATAAAATCAAAGTATTGTTCCACAGAGCTGTGAGTTAATTTCACTACACAGAAAGACAGATTTGAATGATTTGCCTAGGATCTCACAGCAATCAGTGGCAGAACTGGGGATCAGTAATACAACGTTTGCTAATTCTGTGCCTTACACACAGGAAACCTGTTACAGAAAAGTAATTACACCAATTTGGATATTAAGTGGCATCATGGCAGTGAACTACTCCAAGGGAAGTATGTTATTTAGAAGGAAGCTGACAGCCTCATGTATCACAAAACCTAATATATCACGATGGAATGAATAATGTAAAAGTGTGAATTATAACATGCTGTCTTACAGAATTGCTGCTGGTATTATTATTTACATTGTGTCTCCTATGTACATGTTAAATGCAAAGTTTTTGCTACTGTATGCAGAATCGTGAGCTAATTAATTTTTATGCTGAGGGAATTTTGGCCATGTCTCAACACTATGTAGGAGTTTGAAGAGAGTTAGTAATAGGGCTGATATATCATTTTCTTTCAAAGACTGATATTCAGCAAAAAATGGGCCATTACCACATCATCTTTCAGAAAAATGCTCAGAGTTCCCTGCAAAATTTTATTTTTCCATTGAAAGTTTTCAGAAAAGAAATACCATATTTATTTACTTCTGTCAAAAACTAGACATGTCTAGGAAGAAAAACCCATGATGGTAACAGAAGTTGTGTTTTGCCTAACAATTTCTGTTAGAGAATATTTTGGACCAGCTTTTCTAGGAAGAGTGCCTTTGCATTGTCTATCAAATATTTTTAAATATCCAGAACACTGTAAAATAGGAAAAAGATGGTTAATTCTGTGATACGGGGCTTTCTGCATTGGAAGATTTTTTGTTGAAAACATGACATTATTTTCTGTGTAGTGAAAGCGCAAATGTCACACTTAAGGAAACTGATAAGTAATGAGTCAATATCACTCAGTCCCTGAGAAGTAATAATTCACTATTAAGGGACACTGTGCAAGGTTTTCTGTCTTGGTTAAATCTTCAGAATTTTGTTCTAAACTAGCTTAACTAGAAGGCAAGCTAGAACTGATGGTAGAGATCATGAAGAAAACCAATCTATATTTAGCAGCCTCAATACAAGGCCCACCTGACCCAAGGCGGGTATTGTGGTCCATCCATTCTGTTGCAGTCAGGCTTTGGGAAGGCTGTACAGCCAGTCAGCAGAAGTACATAGAACATTGGGTAGTTCATCAGTACTCTGTGTGCCACCACTATTTTTACAAAAACTTAACTGGCTGTCCACCCAAGAAGCAGTCTTTTACTCTTCCTCCAAGTTTGACTGACTTTCTTGCAAACACTTTCAGTTTTTAGTTCATTGGAGTACGCATGTGAGGGTGAAAGGCTGTAATAAACAACAGGAATTCGTGCTCTGTAATAAAAATGACCGATTCTTCTGATTTCAAAGGAACGTTTTGCGAGAAAGGTATAATAGTCATTGCCACCAGGACTGGTCTGCAGTTACAGACTTAAAATTAAATTCAGGAACTTATTAACGTGAGACTCTTACCTTAAACATTCAGGATCAGTCCGAGGTTTTTCAGTGACTTGGACTTTTTCTGCTTGTAAATCTTTTGTCATTCTTTCAGCCTCCTTGATTTCTTTCTCAAGGTCTAAATATAAAATAAAAATTACCTTATAAATATATATATTAATCATCCATATTCAAAGACTTCCTAAATTTTCTATATTTATTTTCTATATTTCTATACATTTTCTATATTTATCTTTTCTAATATTTCTTTAAGAAACTGTTTGTAGGGTAAAGGTATCTGAATAAAGAACATGAGTTATTTTATTAGTGTAATTGGTGTGCATATTGCAATCTTCTAGAAAATTGTGTTCCTTTTCCCAAACAACTTATGACCGTATATACGGCCTGTCTTAGTTCTCTAACTGTGGCATGTTATTTAGACATTTGTAAAAAAGCTATTAAACCACTTCTAGGTTATATTTTTTTTTAATTTGAATTTCAAAATCATCCTTATTGCTTGTGATCACCTTTGACATAGAACCTTTCCTGGTTCCCTCTGTATCTTTTTAGTTTTTCCTTTTATAGGGGTTCCTGTGTATTCAGCACATTCCTCCCAGCTTTGTGCGTAGGCTTCTTTTTTTATACACAGACTTTTATACACAAACTCACAAATGTCAGTAAAGAGAGGGTAGTTGAATTTAAAACTCAGAGGTTTAACACCTAGGCTAAACCTGTCTTTTATCAGTCCAAGCCATGTTGGTTGTTAAACATGTGAATTTTAGTGACATTCTTTGATTATGTTTGATGGGTTTTAAACATTATTGATACTGATTTTAAGTTCACTTTGAAACAATAAATTCTCTATTTAAATACAGGATTTACAAGCAAAAGTAAAAATTTCTTTTTCATATTTATAGCTAATGTTTCAGCAAATTTGAAGACCTCGTATCACTGACATCTAAAATAAATCTTATTAAAATCCATAATATTTATTATAACCATTTTTAAAAATGACGTATTACATAATGTAAAAATATATTAAAATCTTATTTCTATGATTTGTTTTTCTTGAAAAAAGGAACTTGACAGAAACGATTTTTCAGAAGCATTTGTCAAGCCACAAATAATTATCATAACAAGTGATTATCAGGCACACCTTTGAGTTCGCTTTGGAGAGTAAATAAATCCTGCTTTAATTCATTCTTCTGCAGCTGCAGTGCATTTAACTGAACATTTTTTTGTTCCATTGACTCCATTTCTAGGAAAAAAAATATATTTTAAATTAAAATGCATTGCTGTTTTAGTCTTCATGATATAATCTTAAATATTCTTAAGTACTTCTACCAATCTTCAGCTAGTCAAAAAGAACCTTAAATATAAAACTAAAAATTACTAAAACCAGTCCTATAAAACCCAGTTCACAGGAAACTATATACCATATAATGTGTTCATAACTATGAAAGAAAATGTTTCTTTTAATGTTATTGAGATGTTTGACGTATTTTGTTGACTGAGCATAAAAAGAATGTTTTGCTTTAGAGTTACCTCAGCTATAAAGCAAGATGACTTATTGAATAGGTTGTGAACAGACACCTCTCAGCAGGACTAAAAAAAAACCCCTTATTTTGTTAGCATCATGGACATTTGAACCTGACCATTGACAGCATCTGGAACTAATTGTGATTGTTTCCCTGACAACAGGAGGTCCTCACATAATTTCCTTGTTGTGAGTTACTTAAACTTTTTAGTGTTGTCAGTGTGGTCAGGACTGTAGCAGACAGAAAGGCAACTTAAAAGGATTGAATTAAGCCAGCAACTGAACCTAGAGAGGAATGTTAATTGCCTTTCATGTCCTCCTGATCATTGGACTAATCAGATCTGCCTGAATATGTAAAAATTAATCATTAAAAGTAACAGATGCCACTGAATACAGACTTTCTTTCAGCTGTAGGTCAGAATCTACGGGAAATACAGGAAGAAGGTACCACCAAGTACCAACACAGATGGATAGTCCCATGTCAGTAAGTTTACTTCAGATATTGAGAATTCAAAGTGCTGGCACTTGATGGATCATAGGGTCATGAGACTGGAAAGGATTGTGAGGTGTGCTCTACTGCATTGCTCCTTCTGAAGGCAGGATCAGCTGTACCTCTGTCATTTCTGACAGATGCTTGTCTAACCTGTTTTTAAAGACCTTTGGAAATGGAGACTCCTAATTCCTTTGGTAATGGAATCTTCTAAGGCAGAGTGTTTCAGTTGTTCACTGCTCTTAGATTTCTAAACAGCCGGCCAGATTCTCCCTTCGTAGTGGTTTATACTTGTTACTTTTTATTCAGTTCAGTATAGGTATGGACAATATATTAATTTCATTTTCACAGAATCTTTTCATGATTCGAAGACTAATAGCCATCTTCCATCAGTCTTTTCCTTCACAGGTTAAACAGACCCAGTTCTTTAGTTTTTTTCCTTCTTATGTTCTCCAGATCTCTCGCAAGCTGGTCCACATTTTTTCTTGAAATGTAACATCCAAACCTAGATGCACAGTACCCTAGCTAAGAGCTTAACTGCCCTAAATAGAGTGAAGGATTTTTTTGCATGTCTTAGAGGTCAGAATTATGTTTATGTCTCACTGTGGTGTTGGCATTCTGATGTCATTGACTCATGTTCAGCTTGTGACCCATGATGACTCCTATTTCCTTGCTGAAGGATTGCTTTTCAGTCTAACCTTTTTTCGATAAATCTTCTATTCTGTATCTTAACTCCAAGATAAAGTTGTGCTGTGGCAGTAAAAGACCCGTCCTACAAGACATCTGTGCATATCATTCTTTTGAAGCTAAGGAAATTTGCAGAGCTCAACCATATGTGATTATGCTCAGCGCAAACCTAATATAGTACGTTATGGATGACAGTGCACCTCTGTGCTGGTTGTCGTTAGACATGGGAAGCTGCTTCTGCAGGTCTGCTTCTTCTCCTCATAGTGCTCATAGTCAGAAAGGACTGAAGAGGACAGGGGACAGAAGAGGCTTTAATTATGCTTGTGTAATGTGGTATG